CCATACAAGCTAGACGAAGCCCTCCTAAAGCAAATGTGGTTTCAAAGATTACCACACAGCGTTCGACAAATTCTCAGTGTTTCAGGGAAATCCGTCGCACTTGATGACTTAGCCGACATGGCAGATAAAATGATGGAAGTATACCACGACAATCACTGTGTGAACTCATTGCAACCACCTGGACCAACAGATATTAGCTGTTTAGCCTCCTTTCAAAAGCAGTTAACACAATTAACGAGCCAGCTGGCGTCACTGCAATCGACCATAGCAACCATCCAAGCTAGACAATCGAGATCCCCCTCCAGACGAAGATCTTTTTCTAGACAACGGTCTCGGTCACCGAAGCGAACATCTGATGTTTGTTGGTACCACCAAAAATACGGCACCAAAGCACGGCGTTGTACACGACCGTGCACATTTTCTGCGTCTGACACAGAAAATCAGGGAAACGACCCGGCCAGACAGTGATGGCGGCGCCTGTTTCTGGCCACTACCCGAGCCGTCTATTTCATGTCAGGGATCGAATTTCGGGCTCAGATTTTTTGGTCGATACAGGAGCCGAAATCAGCATTATCCCATTACACCTCTCTCAACGACGGCACCCTCAGAGTACTAAATTGTCTCTAGTCGCAGCCAATAACACAGTCATTAAAACTTATGGCGAACAATCACTTATTTTAGATCTCGGTCTCCGGAGACGTTTCACATGGGTTTTCATCGTAGCTGAAATCAAACAACCCATTATCGGGGCCGATTTTCTCGGTGCTTACAACCTACTTGTAGATATGGCAAAAAAGAAACTAATCGACAAAAACACAAGCTTACAGGTCAGTGGCACAACTATCTCCAGTTACGAAATTCATGGAGTCCGTATGTTAAGACCTGAAAACAAAATTTTCACCGATATCCTGTCGAAGTATGAAAGTATAACCAGAGCTGATTACCAAAACGAATGCTCCACACATCATGTCCAACACAGTATTACTACTACAGGACCACCTATTCGCGCCAGGGCGAGAAGACTCCCTCCAAACAAGTTGCAGTTCGCTAAGAGAGAATTCGAACATATGATGCAACTTGGGATAATCAGACAATCTAACAGTCCTTGGGCCTCGCCGCTGCATATGGTTCCCAAGAAAGATCAAGACTGGCGCCCATGTGGAGATTATCGCCGATTGAATAACCAGACTATCCCAGACCGGTATCCGATCCCTCACCTGCATGATTTTTCTTTAAATCTACATGGAAAACAGATTTTTTCAAAGTTAGATCTAGTCCGAGCATACCATCAAATACCGATGGCACCTGAGGATATCGAGAAAACAGCTGTAATCACACCTTTTGGCTTGTTTGAATTCTTGAGGATGCCTTTCGGACTAAAAAACGCCGCTCAAACCTTCCAGAGATTTATGGACGAAGTAACTAGAGGTCTGGATTTCGTATTTGTCTATATCGACGATGTTTTAATCGCTAGTTCTTCCATTGACGAACATGTTCAACACCTACACACGCTTTTTGAACGTTTCAAAAGTTATGGTGTTGTAATCAACCCTTCGAAGTGTATATTTGGCGCCTCATCTCTGGAATTCCTGGGACACCACATTGATTCCCAAGGAATTAAACCGCTTGAAGAGAAAGTCAAAGCCATCTCCAGCTATCCAGAACCAACCTCAGTAAAATCACTACGCCGTTTTCTTGGAACATGTAATTTTTATCGACGATTTCTACCAAATTGTGCCGATGTACTACAGCCATTGACAGATTTACTGAAAAACGATAAATCAGGTACCAAGAAAGAAAAGAACCAAATATTCAAGTTACCTTCCGATGCCAAAGTAGCATTTGAAAAAGCTAAATCCATGATTGCTAATGCTACCATGCTCCAACACCTAAATACTGACCCCACAACACTGTTGATCCTATGCACGGATGCTTCACAAAAAGCCGTCGGGGCAGTATTACAACAGCGGGTAAACAACACGATTACCCCCATTGCCTTTTTCTCCAAGAGATTATCGCCAGCACAAGAACGTTATAGTACTTTTGGACGCGAACTCTTAGCTATGTATTTAGCAGTAAAACATTTCAACTTTTTGCTACAGGGTCGTGATTTCATCATTATGACAGATCATAAACCCCTTTGCCATTCTTTTAGCACATCGTATGACAAACACTCCCCACGAGAAGCAAGACAACTTGATTATATCTCACAATTTACCACAGACATCAGGTTTATCAAAGGTCACTCGAACATTGTTGCAGACGCACTATCTAGGAGGGATATCAATACGATGGTACTCAATCATGACATCAGCCTTGAAACCTTGGCTAAATTACAAGCAGACGATGCAGAATTAAAAGTCTGCAAAGAAAAGTCTAGCTTAGACCTCAAACCTGTACCTATTCCCCTTTCAGACGAATTCATCATGTGCGACACTTCAACAGGCAACAATCGTCCGTTTGTCCCACATGCTTGCCGACGAAAAATATTTCAGCATTTGCATGGTCTTTCACATCCAGGCATCAGAGCAACAACAAAGCTCATTACCGAACGTTTTGTGTGGCCTAAAATCAACTCGGATGTTAAACGTTGGACACGTAACTGTCTCCAGTGCCAACGCAGTAAGACGCAAAAACACACCTACAGTCCAATTGGGAAGTTCCCTATCCCTGACAAACGCTTCCAGCACGTGCATTTAGATTTAGTTGGGCCTCTGCCACCATCAAACTCTTTCACACATATCCTCACCGCAATAGATAGGTTCACAAGATGGGCCATAGCATGCCCCATTAAAGACACATCGGCAGAGACAGTGGCTTCAGTTTTCCTCGACCGCTGGATATCCAACTTTGGCGTACCATCAACAATCACAACAGATCGCGGTCCCCAATTCCAATCCGTTCTATTTAACGAGTTCACTAAACTTCTTGGAGTAAATCATGTTAAAACGACAGCTTATCATCCGGCAGCTAATGGCATGGTTGAAAGATTCCATCGCCAACTAAAAAGCTCTCTGATGGCACAACCGGACCCTTCAAAATGGAGCGATGCTTTACCGCTCGTTCTCCTTGGGATTCGCTCGTCTGTAAAGGAAGACATCGGATGCACGGCCGCTGAACTAGTCTATGGCACGACATTAACGTTACCAGGACAACTGGTCAAGAATGAACCCACAACACCAGGAGACCCTTCTCGCTTTGTAAGCAGATTACTACAAATGATGCAGAGCATCAGAGCAATACCACCTCGAGAATACGACAACCGAGTCCATCTTGATAAACATTTAGAAACGTGCAAATTTGTTTTTGTTCGAGTAGACGCGGTAAAAAGCCACTGACACCACCATATGAAGGCCCTTATAAAGTAATAAAACGCACTGACAAATATTTCATTATCAACAAAAATGGGAACCATGAGACAATTTCTATAGACCGAATAAAACCAGCTTTCTACGAAGTCCCTCATGACACAGAAGACAATACTGCGAACAAACAATCACTCCCATCTATTGCTAAGAAACAAGAGGAAGAGGAAAAACTTAGCACTACACCCTCTTGTTTAACACGTTCTGGGAGACTTATAAAAAAACCAAAGCGTTACGTACATTTTGCCATATAAAAAAAACTAAAACAATCAAAGCAAACAATTATCGAGGACCTACACTATCAATCCCATCTAAAAAAATTTTTTTTAACAGTGTATATAATTCATCACATTTTCCCACATTTATTCGTTTTGTCACTTTTTTTTTCAAAAAAAATTTTGTTACAATAATAAACGGGTAAACTCTATTTAATTATTTATTCATTATACACAAAAATAAACAGTTCAATTTTGTTTGTGTGTGTGTGGGTCATTAACAGTTTTACACATTATCATTGTTAGCTAAACAAGACATTAAATGACAGTATATTCACTTTTTTTGTGTTTGTTATTCTGTGACATCACTGTTATTATTTTTTTCACTCGATAACACACGGTATATCTCACTAATATACATATCATACGCATCTCCACATCTTTGTTGGTTATAACTGTAAATATTTTTTTTTATATACATATATATCATATTCTCACATTTTTGTTGTTATTATAACCAGTGTTACCTCCGGACACTCTGGGGGGAGCTATGTGGATTTTTTTTTTTTTTTTTTTTTTTTTAAATAGTTTTTAATATTATTTGTATTTATTTTGTCAATTTCTCACTGCATGTACATTTATCATTAAATGATTGTACCTGTTGTTTGAGAAAATGACCTTGAAGACACTTTCCGTTGAGCTACTACATAGCGAGATATATGCTTGCCGACTAACAAATACATTACTACTCTCGCATTCCTCGTTCTATTTCCATTTGTGATTGAGTTAACGGAAGTCTAAATCAAATACTATCTACATTTATAGTCTGTAATCGGGATATATCACACCCTACGTTGGACTATATCGCTAGAGAGTTCGCCAACCTGCTCAGAGTCATCAAGCATTTATAATTGTGGATTTACATTACTGAACCTAATCAGAACACGCAACGTTTGGACAATTTAAGTAACGTCCCTAATTTTTATTGTATTTGTAACAGTTAACTGTATATATATTAATATTACTATTTATCTTTAGTAACTTTGTTTATACTTTTTGCGTTCATATTTGTCTGGTCCACCACAAAGTCAATCATAATAGTATAATACAATTTCATACTGCTTACATGGAAATACAGTTATTGATTTAAAATCTAGATTTATTGAGATTACTTTTATTTCGTTTTGATGTTTTAAATTCTTATATATTCAAAGTTGTTCAGACAAACACAATGATGCGACTTAACTACGAATCTAGATATAAGCTAACAATAATAACATTTTTATCCGTCAAACAAGCTCACTTGATCTAACTTAAAATTATTCTCTTAACTTTTTACATATTTGACTGACGTTCATGTTAAGTTGACGAAGGAACTATGATTTATCTATAACAAGAAGTTATTGAATTACCGACTAACCTGTACAAATGAAACTGAGCTTCGAATGTCGTCTACAAAATGAAGAATACAATAACTCCATCTGAGTTGACCGATGTTACAACAGAATCAACCGTCTGACTTAATAACTAGATAATCCATAGTTTTCAATACAAAACATTATTCCCTTGAACGTAGATACAGTGTAGGTTGAAAAAATTTGTTCAATGCACATTCGGCAACCATCTCGAAAATGGAGAAATATTAAAGTATAGTCCGGTCGAAATGTAAGGAGAGAAAGTGTTATGGACGTTGTGAGCCTATGATATCACGTTATATCCTTGACTATTTCATTTTTAAGCTGTTTTTAGTCAAAATATCAAGATGTTGTTCCGAAAGCATTATCTGATTGTTATCAATAAATTAATTTTTAGAATGTGGTGTTGGTAAACATACTCTTCAAATTAATGACTCAGCAGGCGTTTATCATTAGTTGTGGGTCTCGGTAAAGCGTTCAGTCTACTTATAAGCATGGTGCATATGAGTCATTACTCCCAACGTTTTGATAGCGTACATGACTTTCCCCTTCTGGGACAAAACATAACACCAATGACAACAATTCTCGTCTTTGAATGTCTTTTGTGTTCGATCTTTCGAAACCTTATGAATTGAGATTAGTCGTACATAGCATACCAAGTTATTCATACACCTTTTCATATAATACTAATATCACGTAAATTAATCGAGAAAATAAGTAATATGTTGTGCAACTAAGCATAGAGTGCATGCAATTTAACAAGAAGTATCAGGCTGATACAAACTGATAAACAGTTATAAGTAAATAAGTTTCATATGGTAACATTTCTACATGCATTAAGTCATGGATGATATGCAAAACTGATTAAGATTTCTTATTAGTGTTAAAACTTTGTTAGCAATCGTAATTTCTGTTTCATTAAGTTTAAGAATATGTTATATATTTAATAGACCATGTACATTTTCCCTTAAGCTATTACAAGAGAGCTCAATGGATATGATTTTATTCGTGTTTTTCTTTATTTTCTACTTTAATTAAAATTTAATTATCAAGAGTGAAAAAGACTGGGAAACTATCTTTCAATTTGTATTCCTCCTAGCATTAACTTTCGACTAAAGATTTTAGCAAACCAGTGAATCAGATGAAAATCATTAGCGAATTTTAAAAGTTTATTCATAGTTTTGGATAGATAATTCTCTTTAATAAATTGAAAATACAACGAACAATAAATTAGGCAGAATAGCACTGATCTACATTTTGCTGCTTATTCTTATCTGCCACTTATATAATATATTTTGCGATGTTTGTGCTAATTGATGATTGTTTTACTTATTGCTAGGCTCCTAGGTCGAATTGAAGATTTACTATAAGTACATTTGTATCAGTTGTGCTCTTTATAACGTATTTGCTTTTCCATTAAGCGCTTGTCTTGTGATGCGGTTTGCTGATTTCCTCAATGTATGTCCTATCCATTTCCAACGTCTCTTCCTAATTTACACTTCAGATGAAAGCTGGTTTGTTCTTTCCACAGTAAGCTGTTGCTGATAATTTCCGGTCAACAGACATTGAGTATCTTAAGTAGACAACTGCGTATAAATACTTGCAGCTCTTTGATGACGGCTGTAGTGGTTCTCCACGTTTCAGCTGCGTACAGTAGAAAAGTCTTGACCATTGAATTGAGGATTCTGATTTTTATATTCGTTCACAGTTGATTTGAGTTCTTCTATTGTACGAATGAGGCCGTCGCATTCCTAATCCTCATATGTACGTCTGCAACCGATCCCTCAAATTAATCCAGGATATTACCCAGCTACGTGAAAGATTCCGCATCTTCCAGATCTACTAGATTAGGTGTCACTGGGTTGGTGTTCACCGTGTTTTATTTGAGAATCTTGCCTTATCCCACTGGTATTTTGACGCCTACGTGAAAACGTTAAATGAAATAATGAAATTTGTGACCATGTCCCATTGTGCTAATTATTCTCAAATAACTAAGCAGTAAAATATAATATGTTGGTGAATAGTCACTGTGTATCTTTTATGTTGTTAGTGGCGCATGAATAATATCATGAAAAAATGTTATCTGGCAATTTTTCATGATTTCTGTCGAATTTATTTTCTCTGAAGATAGTTATTATTGAGAGAATTTAAAATTAGTACCTACGTACTACTGACATTTATTAATTAGTAGGAAGACTAATTTTACTACAAAACATCAAAATATTTCATGAAAGGAATTTGCACACGTGAAAATAGGATGAAAGTCATGTTGATATACTTAAATATAAATCAGGAATGAATCAATTTATTTACGTGAAATATTCCGCATCTTCCATATCTACTTAACTCCGCCTGTAGCTCTTCTGGAGTTACTGCCGGTCCCACGCCCGGGTAAAGGAGGAGGGTTGGTCATGGGGTTAGCTTCTCCATCCCGTGGAAAACTAACTCGCTAAAAAAACGCTTACCAGAAAAAATAATTCAAACCATTTAAACTTTGCCCTGAGAGTTAGAAGGTCTTCATTTAGAAGAATTATGGCGCTTCATGATGAAAGCCGAGTTCCTTCGGAAGCCACGAGGCCGATGCCCCTTCTAACAACCAGAACAAAAGTTTTTATAGGTACATGGAACGTCCAAACAATGTGGGAGACTGGGAAGACCAGTCAAATAGCAACGCAAATGAGGAGATACAAGTTGGCAGTACTGGGAATCAGCGAAACCCATTGGACCAAAGCTGGACAACATAGGCTAGATACGGGAGAGATGCTACTATACTCCAGTCACGACGAGAAAAATGCTCCACACACTCAGGGAGTTGCTCTAATGCTGTCCAAAGTAGCACGAAAAACACTTGTAGGATGGGAATCTCACCATGAATATTATCCAATGTTATGTACCCACCAATGATAGCAACGACGACATTAAAGATCAGTTCTACGAGCGGCTACAGTCAATCATTGAGAAATGCCCAAGAGGGGACCTCATCATTCTGATGGGAGACCTAAATGCCAAAGTCGGAATAGACAACATTGGATAGGAAGATATTATCGGACGACATAGACTGGGAGAAAGAAACGAAAATGGAGAAAGATTAGCAAATTTGTGTGCATTCAACAAATCGGTCATAGGCGGCACAATACTTCCACACAAACGTATACACAAAGCTACATGGATCTCACCGGACCACACTACAGAGAACCAGATAGATCATATTTGCATCACTAAAAAATTCCGAAAGACAATGGAAGATGTGAGAACCAGGAGAGGTGCTGACATAACTTCAGATCACCACCTAGTTGTAGCCAATTTAAAACTGAAGCTAAAGAAGAACTGGACAAGTGGACAAACAGCAATACAAAGGTTCAATACAGCCTTCCTTCGAGATACCAACAAAATCAACGAATTCAAGATAACTCTCAACAACAGGTTCCAAGCCTTACAGGATCTACTGAAAGAAGAAGAAACTACTATGGAGGACAACTGGGAAGGTATCAAGGAAGTATCAACTTCAATTTGTCAAGAGGTTCTGGGCCTAAAGAAACATCATCATAAGGAATGGATCTCTACAGAAACACTGGACAAGATCAAAGAAAGGAAGAACAAGAAGGTAGCAATTAACAACAGCCAAACACGAGCAGAGAAAGTCCAAGCATAAGCTGAGTACATAGAAGCAAACGAACAAGTGAAGTAGAGCATTGGAATCGATAGGAAGAAATACGTGGAAGAAATAGCAACGACGGTAGTAAATGCTGCAAGAGAAGGAAATATGAAACAGCTTTACGATACAACGAAGGAACCAGCAGGGAAATATAGTAAACCAGAGAGACCGGTCAAAGACAAAGAAGGCAGGCTAATCACTGAAATTCAACAACAGCGAAACAGATGGGTAGAATACTTGGAGTAACTCCTAAATAGGCATCGAAGCAGCACACATAAATTTTCCCATAGACCCCAACCCACCAACGAATGAAGTCAGACATCGAAGTAACTACAAACATGCTTTACCTTCTATTCAAAAAGATTTTGGAGGAGGAACAAGTGCCGATGGACTGGAAAGAAGGACACCTCATAAAGATTCCAATGAAAGGAGATCTGAGCAAATGTGAGAACTACAGAGGCATCACACTACTGTCAATACCAAGGAAGGTCTTCAACAGAGTGTTGCTGAGCCGGATCAAAGATGCAGTAGATGCCCAACTTCGACATCAGCCAAACTTCGAGATCAACAAGCTGGATTCCGTAAGGATCGGTCGTGTACAGACTAAATTGCGACACTACGGATCATCGTCGAACAGTCAGTTGAGTGGAACTCGTCACTATACACCAACTTCATTGATTATGAAAAGGCATTTGACAATGTGGATAGGAGGACATTATGGAAACTTATTCGGCACTACGGAGTTCCTGAGAAGATTGTCAATATTATCCGGAACTCATACGACGGACTGCAGTGCAAGGTCGTGCATGGAGGACAGCTGACAGATGCATTCCAAGTAAGGACCGGAGTCAGACAAGGCTGTTTACTTCCTCCCTTCCTTTTTCTTCTAGTGGTCGACTGGATTATGAGGACCTCGACATCTGAGGGACAACACGGAATACAATGGACAACTCAGAATCAATTAGACGATTTGGACTTCGCAGACGACCTAGCCCTCCTATCACGTACACACGAACAGATGCAGACACAGACAGCCAGTGTATAAGCAGTCTCTGCATCAGTAGGCCTCAACATACACAAAGGGAAAACCAAGGTCCTCAAATCCAAAACGAAGAACAGCAATCCAATCACTCTTGATGGCGAAACTCTGGAAGATGTAGAATCCTTCACATTCCTGGGAAGCATCATCGATGAACAAGGAGGATCCGATGCAGACGTAAATGCGAGGATCGGCAAAGCAAGGGCCGCATTCCTACAACTGAAGAACATATGTAACTCAAAACAACTTTCAACCAATATCAAAGTGAGAATCTTCAATACCAACGTCAAGGCATTTCCACTGTACGGAGCTGAAACTTGGAGAACTACAACAACCACCATCAAGAAGGTACAAGTATTTATAAATAGCTGTCTACAAAAGATACTCAACATCGATTGGCCGGATACCATCAGCA